ATTTGCACTGTATTTCCCATTAGACTTGTAGTACAGGGAACGCAACCTAGCAATGGCTGGGGTGACTGGAGCTCACCCAGGGCCCTGACTCACTGGCTCAGACCCTTGCTGAAACCTTGCTCGCAGCGCTGAAGCCCAAGTGTGGGACAGACCAAAGCCCCTTTCTGCTTTCCTTGCTTCTCTGAAGTGGGTCTCTGCCTCTCTCCTTGCTGACTCAAGTCCATTCTGGTCAATTCTCACATTTGCATCATAGAGTGATTAATTTTTCCTACAGAAGAAGGAGGCAGGGTTGATAGCAGGGGATGTTTTGTTGTTTAGGGACAGATGAGAGATTGAGGTAATCTGGATGGGACCTTTGCTTGGCTCAGCCACTAGTTCCTCAGAGAGCCTTGGGTGCTGTTTAAAAATATATAAAGTAAGGTTGGACTTAAAGCAGATGCTACAAATCAATCGGCTGTGACAGGCCTAACATAGGGCTTGCTGGCCTGTGTCATACACAATTTAAACGAGATTACTAGACTCTTCTAATTTTAGCAATCATTCCTAAATATGATGAGTTTCTCATCATTTGAGGCATCTGAAGATTTGCTTTGTTGATTTATGTGGTCTTCCCATTTATCAGCTAAACCACTGGGCAAAGAGATAGTGGTTCTTTCAGAGGTCATCAGGGCAAGTAGGGGGAACCTTTTTATCCCAGCTGAACTTGGATCCATTTCTTTTAAGCAGTGAGGGATCTCTGATGTTTTTGCAAACTGTATTTCTGTTTTCTGCTATGACTGATGAGTTACGTTTCACAAGAGAGCTCTGGTCCTTCCGTTCTTGTGCTACTCATGCATATCTACCTGCTTGGTGGAAAGAGCAGGAGTAAATCAGGGCGAGCAGCAGCTTTGCAACACCATAGATGTGATTCTTGTGCATGACAACAGAGGACAGTTTGTGGTCTGATTAAGTAATAAACAGAGTTTCTTTCTCACATTGTAGGTGGAGGAGAGACCACTGAAACCAGGCTGGGAATGAATGGTGATCTAACCTCAGAGAGCTTCTGACACCAGCCAGTGATGGAAGCACTGTTATTAACATAGGTGTTACAAAATATGGTTTGCAAGGATTTACAGTGCTGTTTAAATATTAAGCACATGGCATGGGTGCTTTGTTTGCCTAGTTGGGAACATGGATCTGAAGATGGGGTGATGCAATGCACAGTGATCTGCTGATGTCAATAGATTAGTTATATTGCAAGTCAAAAACCCGTACGGCTTGAACACCAGACATAGGACAAATAGGGATTAGGAAACAAACCTGGCACCCCGGCTCATTTCTAGTCTCTGTCGTTCCGTGCCTCTGTGGTGGATCTTTGCCCTTAATATTTTCAAAACAGTCTAATTACAGCCTTGCCTGCAGCGAAGGCCTCCTCTCCCTGCAGGTCTTGCAGGTGGTTTCCTGCTTCCTTTTCTCCTTTACTTAGTGTGCCTGCCTTAGTTTGGTTTGGTTTGCAAGACTTGTCCACACAGAGGAGCCTGTTCATTAACAGCCTTGTTTCTCTGAAATGGTATGAAACCTTTACCTGTTTGCGGCAGATATTCTTTGTGCAGTGCTGAGTGTTAATCTGATGTTGGGTTTGGTATTCCATATCTATACATCTTCATGAAGGGAGTGATTTTTCAGGTGTACTTAATACCTGCATCTCCTGATAAATTTAAGGCGCCCACCTCTGGCAGTGTTCATACCAGGCTGTGACCATGGCAAGAACAAGGATGCAGCTTTTATGGCAGGACAGTACATCAGAGAGCAAGACTGAGACAAATGTTATAGTAGGAAATTGGTTTAGACTATTTACACCACCTAGTTTTGTGTTCACATCAATTTAAATTCTTTAACTACTTAATATTTTGGGTAAAAGATGACTGTTAAAGATCCAAAATCCATCTTTTAAATGAGTTACTCAAATTACAGTAGTCTTGAGCTCCTTCAGCAGACTTTAGACAGGCTAAACTTTGTAACTCATGAAATATTTAAGGAAGCTGCAGAGAGGAGTCAATTGCAAAGAGGGGGAAAAAAAAGTAACCCAGTACTTCCTCTCTCCCCTTGCTTTCCAAATGAAAGTGTTTCAGGCCTTTTTTATCTGACATAGCAAATAAAACCACTTTGCACTAAAGGGCGGATAGTATATGAATATTTTGTTTTCAAAGTGCTTGAGCAACACATGGGAATATTTATTGTATTTCATCACTGTTTCATGATAGAAAGTAATTTTTTAGAGGAACTGTCTGGAACTAAGCTTTTCAGGAATGCTGGCTCTGTATACTGCCTTACATGCTTTTGAAAGCATTTTCTACAGATGAGTAACTTGCCTTGTGTGACTAGACTAACCTGTGCAGGTAAGACAGAAGCTTTTAAATATATATCCTTACCCCTGTGCTCTCATGGTGTTGAGACTGGCGAATCTCCTTTCCCACACCTTTGTGGCCAGCTCCTTGGCTCTAGCACTGGCAGTCCTCTTCTGCAGAGACATAATGACTGTCCATGTTTGCTCTATTAAGCTTGGCAATGGTGTTGCAATTGGCACTAATTGACGTTTTTGCTGGCAGCCTTTGCCAAAAGACAGAGAACTGAACGGGCTGTGGAGCCTGCACTCCACTGCGCTCCAAAGGTGGCAGAGGACAGAGACATGCTGGCAAGTCAGTCTGAGGAAAGCTGATGCCACTATTGCTTGGTCTATAAACAAAGGACTTCTGTTTCCAAAGCTGAGGAGCCCCAGCCTTTTTCCAAGCTGTGACTCTGTTTGAAAAACAAGCCTGGACCCAGTTGGGTGAGTGATCTGTGTAGTCACGGGTGTAGTTTGCCCACAGTTCCTCTCAGCCTCTCCAGATGAAGCATCCCAGACACATCAATGAGCCACACGTAGCGAGGTCTGTCAGTGACCTTCAGCAGAGTGATCCCAGCATGGTCTTGGCAATAGGCTTGACTTCTGTCCTAGAATAACAGGAGGGGCACAGCAGTTAGCTGACTTTGGACCCAGCACAACATATTGAGGGGACCCTTTCTGTTTCTGCCGTGAATTACCGGAGAGCTGGTGGGAGGGCTGTAGGGAATCACAGGGGCAGCTTTGGCCTTGAATTCTTGTTTTGTTAAGAGGCTCGTTTTAAGGTGGAGGATGTCCTGCCCAGCCTGTCATACTGTTCCAATGTGTAATTACCCTCACAGCTTGGGAGCTGGAGCATCTTCCAGTGCTCAGTTCAACTGACCAACTCCCCACTGCTGCATCTCATGTCTTTGTCAGCAAGGCTGATAAACCTTTCCTCCCACCTCAATGCACTTTTCTATGTGCAAGTTAGACCTGACTACTTTATTTCTCGTCTGTTTTGGAAGATGCTTCCACAACATTATTACAGAAGCAATGAGGAAAATGTACTCAAAGAATGTAGCAGCATAGATTTTTTTTTTTAAATTAAATGGTTAAGTGATTGATGTAGATTTATGTATTTTTATAATCAACAAGGTAGCTGAAGAGAAGATGCTTTCTAGCAAGGGACCTCCCGTGGTTATTAGCCTGAGCACGTACCAGCTTGGTTTCGTGGGAAAAAGGAACATTTGCTCTTCTAGGAAACATTTTCAGTGCCATCAGTCTAAGAATAGCAATCTTATTTCTGTTTCATCTCAAATTTCAGAAGTATTGCTTATCTTTTATTGGGCATGCAGTATGGAGGTTATTTTAGATGAAATACCACTCTGTTCTGCTGAAGCATGAACAGCTTATAGTGTCTCATTTTTTTATTTTTTTTTCCTAACCAAAATTAATTCACGAACAAAGAAATTTGTGCTGGGAACATGGCCTCTTCTCTCTGAACACATCAGTTCCTTAATGACCGCAAAGGGAACAACAGTGCTGAAATAGTTGAAGTGGCAAACAACTCCCTGGCTATAAATTTAAGAATTGAAACAAAACCCTACAGTTTCACTGATGAATTCCAGGAACACAGGCAAAGCTACAGCGCTGTGGCCTAGGAGATTTCTGTCATTGCAATGCTGGGGGAGAGGGTGCAGCTCGCTCCCTGCAGAGCACGCAGGGGCACTGCCAGTCCGACAGGGAAGACCAGGACTGGCACAGCTCTATCAGCTGAACGTAAGCCCTCATGTCCTGCTGGGGACCAGAATCCACTGAAAAAAGCTGCTCTGGGGTCCTGGCCTGTTGCCCTACCTACATAAATCCCTCTGGGCAGAGCAGAGGGCAGGCACAAGGAGGCTGTCCCTCCTGTTCTGTGCTACCCTCCTCACCATCCAGCAAGCGCACAGGGGGGCTGCGGGGTCCATCCCTGCTCCTGCGCTCCTGTGCCTGACAACAAGCACCTTGGCTGTCCAAGTGGAACATGGAGACCTCTGCAAGGAAACCAACTGTTATTTGTGCTTATTTTAAAATATATTTTGTTCAGCTGCACATCCCTGACAGCCTTGTTTAGGAAAGTTTTAATAGTATCTGGCTTCTCCTTGGTCTTGTGTACAAGATGAGGAAGTTTTCATCTGTGCCTTTAAAAAAAACCTGCATCCCTGCCAAGATGTATTAGGAGATCTGTAAAAAAGGAGTCATCCTGTTCCAGGACTGCAAGGCTTATGTAACAGGGAAATCCTAACAAAAAGATACTCCCCCACTCCATATACACTTTTCCAAGGCACATGCCACTTCAGGGTTTTCAGTCACTCAGTTTGTGTTTGGATCACATCTGCCATTGGTTTATTTAGATGTATTTACAAATATAAATCTCCCACATACCCTCATTTGTACATGCCATAGAATGTTTTTATAAAATGCAGTGCGGCCCTCACCTCACCACGAGGATCTTTAAATAAAATATATTGTAAAGTGCCAGATATAATTGTTTTAAAAAATACAGTTCTAATTAAAATGAATAGTTGGCTGCCACATTAGCAGCTTCATATACTGATACATTTTTAGCACAACAGTCTATTTCTGTCAGGTGAGCGGGAGGCTCCCATACAACCCCTCTAGCTCTCCAGTTTCAAGTCCAAAGGCTTTAGAAAATGAGGCAGAGGCAGATTGTCCAGAGCCTCTGGGAAATGCTCAGGTGAAATGGTCCTGATCAAGACACGCATGGCTCCAACAAACAGTGATGGGGGAGCTAAGCCCAGCAGGCACTGGAGCCTGCTCTCCCCCAGGAGGTCCTGCCACCGCTGCCGGTTGTCCAACAGTTGCTGTTTCATTGTGAACTGGAGGTCCTGAGGCACGAAGAAGAAGAGGCAGTCGAGGCAGAGGAGCTTGGCACGCATGTTAGCTGCCGGCACGTGGGAAATCTGCTGCAGCAAGGTGTCAAGGGGGGTATTCCCAGCACTGTCCTGCAAGCAGGGCGACGCGCCGTGCCCTAACAGCAGGAGCAAGCACTCGGGTCGCACCAGTTCACAGGCCACGTGCAAGGCTGTCTTGCCACCCTCCACGCGGCTGCAGCCCTGGCGGTCCAGGTGGCTGGCTCTGTCGCTCGGCGGGAAGGCTTGGATGGCCTTGAGTTACCCGGACCCGGTTGTAGCGGACGGCCATGGCCAGGTGCGGGGCCGAGGACTGGCAGCAGCTGAAGCTTTGGCTGGGAACGGCCAGGGCGCTCTGGGGGAACTTAGTCAGCAGGTGCCGGGCATAGGGCTGGTGGTCGTGCACCAGCGCGTAGAGCAGGGCCTCTGAGGGCGAGTACAGGCTCACCTTGCCTCCGTCCTCCCAGTGGAACACCTCCATGGTCCGCATGTCCTCCAGGAACCAGACAGGCAGCAGGTCCCTCACCGCCTGGTAGAAGGCGAAGGAGGATTTCTTGCACTGCTTCTGGGACTGGGC